AAAACCGCAATCACCTTCAAAGACATGAGAGCAGTCCTTGGTGAGCACTCCCAACGTGCTCGCTTTACAGGAAAAACACCACACACAAATCACTACCTGGGCAGTTACCCATTTCCAAAAACCTAACTGCCCAAGTCCAAGACATCACGACAACTGACACAAGGAAACTAGAGTGTTCCTCCCACACAACAGCAGAGACTGCAGGGAAAATTCCAAAAACGTAAACTCCACAGGGGAGCCATGGTCCAACACAGGCATCGCTTGTCACAGAAAACATGGGCTAAAGGTAACAGGAGGGGGAGAGGTAGACCCTCCAGCGTTCCTAGAGGAAACTCAGCACAGCCCACGTTCCACTCGCCGGGCTGCGCTGAGACCCAGTGTACAGCAGATCAGCGTCTCTGCCCTCAGGAGTCAGGGGTCCAGCTTGGGACAATGGCAAGGAGGCGGGAGACGCAGTGGACTCAGGAAGGCAGCTGGCCCGGAGCGAGGCCCAGGGAGAAGATGAGGGACCACGGTGACATGAAGCCGCCGGGCCTGTCCCCAAGTCGTCCTGCACCACCTTCCCCCCGCCCATCCTCACTCCACGTCAACTCTAAGAGAAGCTGAGTAAGTTTAAAGTCACATGAAACCAGACTCTGTAATGCGCTGGGGGAAGAATCTCCGAGACTCATACTGAGCCTTCGTGGAGGATCTGGTGACTGTGACCGGCTCTGACCCAACTGAGGGGCAGGGCTGGGGCTCAGATGAGATAAGCGGGCACTCAGGATCCCCGTCGCTCCCTCAGCCTTTGGACGTACTTAGAACCAGTTTTTAAAGCCATAAGTTTACTAGTTTCAAATACCCTGGGTATGTGTGTCCCTTGCCAACTTAACATACCTGTTTTTCAGTCTAGATTTTACAATGCAAGCAATTAACGTTAAGGAATACAATCCAGAAGCACAGACAGCACTAGCAAGATGCAGCCCCAGGACCGGCATACCTGGCAGGCTGCCCGGAGGAAGCTGCACAGCCGGGGCGTGTCGACCTTCGGGACCACGGCAGCGCCACCAGGGCTGCCCCTGTCACTCCCTGAAAAATAGCTCATGTGAAACCAGCACACGTCACAACCTTAAAGTTGTCGCAAACAAATGAGGAGCACAGACTGCCCAAATTAAGAGCAGAGAGTGTTGGGGGAGCCCGTCTGCAACGCGCCTGTTTGAGGGTGAGCTCCTTCCCTTGTGTGGGCCCGGATCGGGGCCCAGACACTAGGGGTTCTGAACAGCCAGGAGGCGGCTGGGAAGAGCACGTGTTTCCACAGCCGCACAGCAGTGACCACACCCAGGACAGAGAAAGGGCAAGAAGGTAACAAACACACCCCAGGGCCAGGAGCCGTTTACCCCCAGACACAGCCGCACTCTCTCCCGGGTGCTGGGTCCACACTTCCCGGGTCTCCACCTCTTCGGTCTGCACGTCCCTCTCCACATGGTCTTCGTTACACTGAACGTATGCCTTAAAAACAAGGTGTGCCAGAGTCAGCTCTGGGTCTTGACCTCAGAGCAATTTCTCACAACTGAAAAGAAAACGATTAAAATGTTTAAAGTTAATAATGACAGTCTTCTTGCTTCTGTGAAAAATAAGTACCACAGCGTAAATAAAGCCACACAAATGCTGCTCATGTCTTAAACATTCGATACACACAGGCCTGAATCTCAGAAGTGATTTCAGAAAGTTACATCAAACAAGACAACTCTGGTTTGAAAACACTGTTACCAAGTCCACCGGCACCCTACTCTCTTAGAGCACAGAGGCTTCGCAAAACCAGTTTTTTAATTTAAAAAAGGCACATGCTTTAGGAGTAGGGGATTAAGAGGTACAAACTACTACGTATCAAATGAGTAAGACACAAGGACACACTGCACAGCACAGGGAGCAGAGCCAGTGTTTTATGCTAACTGTAAATGGAGCATAAAACACTTAAAAAGTGTGAGTCACTTTGTTGTGTACCTGAAACATGTAATACTGTCCATCATCTACACCTCAATAAATTAATTGATTAATTAATTAAAATAAGTAAATAAAAAATCAGAAGAAACAAGCGGAAAAAGGTACATGCTTCAGGGAAGACAGTAAGATACTAAGAGCTTTGAATGAGGAAAACAAGCAGAGAAGTCAGAGTATCTGCTCAGGGTCAGAGTGAGTCCAGCTGCAAAGCCAGGATTAATCTGGCGGCTTCTTAAATTTCATCCTGTGATCCTCCATTGAGAGGTTCCTGACGGAATTCACCCAGGAGCATGCTGATCCGCGGCACCATTGGGATGCAAGAGAAGCATCAGAGGGTGTCCCTGACTTTAAAACGCCGCCAACTGTTGGGAACTAGACTGAAACATAATTAACAATAGAAAGCAGGATGGGGGACAGAGCTGGGGGACGGGGGAGCAGCGCTGGGCCAGGGGCAATTCAGCAGGAGTCACCAGGAAGGAGCCCCGAGAACAGGCCGTGGACACGGAGGGACAGACAGGTCGCCAAGAGGAGAGGCAGGGACAGCAGGAGCACATGATGGAGAACAACAGGGAGACGACAAATGGGCCTGGCAAGGAGGACACACGCAGGTGACGAGGGACCTGGTGAGGTAAGGGAGACACTTAGTGAGGCAAGGGGGACACAGGCAGTGATGGGGACCTGGCATAGAAAGACCTGGGAGAAGAGGCAGGTGGATGGGAACAGAGGAGGGAATCTAAGGTGAGCCCGGCATCTTGGGAGCTCGGGAAGAACCTGAGTGGTCATACCTGCAGGACAGGGAGGACGTGCAGGACTGCTCCACCCCACAGGAACCTGGACAGTGACCAGAGGTGACATCCCGTGACTTCCCAGAAACCCTCCCTTGGTCGAGCTGTCTGTCCTCTGAGCCAGGAGCCTGCCCAGTCCTCCTGTGTGACCACGTTTGTGCTGGAAGGCTCTGGACATGGAGGACGTCGCACAATCTCTCCAGGGAAGAGCCCGTGACGGAGGAGCCCCTCTTCCCTCAAGTCTGTGTCCTTCACACCATCCCAGGTTCTAACATCATGGCAGGACAGAGCCAGGCTCAATCCCCTCCCTACATTGTACCTGCACTGTCACCTGTCAGCACACCTGCACCACCTGCTCACC